GTGCATATTAATACACACAGTGTGCTACTAGAAAACAACATGGGTGAAAACGCTTCATGTATTTTTCCTGGGTCCAGGTTGAGTTTTAAGTTACAATAAAACATTATCTTGCCTTGGAAATAATCTAATAGGACTCATAAGACACATGACCTACTGCGAGATTCACAAACAGTAACAGCCAGTTCATTATCTTTATCTTTATATATATATATATTCTACATCATTTAAGATCAACCAATCTTTTTTGTATGCATGATGACAGATTTGCCACCATCAGGAGATATCACCTGATGCCAGACAGCTAATAAAACTTGGTCAACTTTGTGCCGTGTCTACTGTTTCCCAGAGCTGATACAGATGTATATAGGTGTAATTAAATGTCATGTACGCACCCCTGAGAGGCTAGAGGATTCAGTCAAAGGGCTGAGAGATACCCAGGGGGAGCATTTCAAACCACCGGACGGACTGGATATCATTAAAAAGGTTTCCACTCCTTTTGTCTTTCTGAGGAAGCAGCCATGAAGAAAAAAGTCAAATGAATGTCACCGTTTCAATGTCACACAAATCTCTCTTGAGAGGAAAACCTAAAGCTGGATATGACAAAGAAAATCCTGCTTTCAGGCCAACCTTGACACGTAGCTGGTCGTGAATTTGCTCGACATTGGTATTTATTAAAAAGGGGAGAAAGAAAATGATTGGGTTTTTATTTCCCTGTATATTCTTTAAAGGAAAGGCAAGTATCTCTCCCCCAGCCTTGTTTTTATTTGGATTGGAACTCTCCCTTGATATTGACCAAGAGCTCAAAGCAAACATTTATGGCGAACAAAAACAGATATTTAGAATAAAGTGCTCCTAAAAAAGGCTAAAAATGTGTGAACCGTGACCAAGCACAAGCTCCACCGATCGAGAGACCGCAATATTCCACCTCACTGTGAGTTACAACTACGAGCCTAAAAATACATAGAAATAAGATCCAAATGGTTTAGCCCCATGTGTACAATATTGGTTGTCTGACTGTTCGTTATGATCAAAGTAATAACCGGATGCCAAGTCAGATAGACCGCAAGGTTTAGACATTTCCTGTAGACAGCTGTTCCAAAGATCCCAGGGAAATGCATTAACGTCTATTGCTAAATAATAGTCTAATCCCCAACACATATACGGAGCTGTGCTGTGTACAACACGCACCCTCTCGATATTGACTGGGAAGCTGTTTTACACAGCCAGGTCCGTTTTTACACACTGTGAAATAAACAGTTTATAAGAATTTATTTCACAGGCACTGAATGAGCAAAATAGACCCAGGCACCTTGCAGTGTTTGTTGCCTCGCTCTAGGAAAAAACAACTATAAATATGAAGAATAGGAGGTTATATTGTTGCCTGTATAAAATCAGTCATCTGAATGTCATAAACCAATCACATGATGCCTGAAATACATAACCAGGCATGTTGAGTAGGGCGCTGTTAGGAGGCAATATTAAGAGGTGCTGGATGAGAAGGCATTAAAGTTCCCCTATTATACAGTTCTTCATCAATATATTATAGGTCTCAGATATATACAGAACATGTCTCTGAAATGTTTGGCTATAAATACCAAACAGATCATTGCAGCATTACCCATAATCCCCTCTGTTTCAGCCCTGTTTCCAAAGTGCTGATTCTCTGTCTGTTACTTTAGATGAAAATAAGGAGCCCCTCCCCACGCCCCTCTGAGAGAGATTTGGTTACAAAGAACACAATGGTGCTCTAGGAGGAGATTCAGGTGATAAGGTGGGGGGGGGTTACCTTGGTTGCTGATTGGCTAATGGTTACACAAGCCACAACATCGTTATGACATCATAAAGTGGCCAAAATCTGATCAGCTCATTTTCAGACAGGTTTTTATAGAAATGGATCAGGACAAAAAGAGAGAGAATCTTTGTTCCTGAAACTTTCAGAGTCTCTTTACACAGAGGGGACACATGTTGATGTAGAAGAGACATGAAGAAGAGGGGACACATGTTGATGTAGAAGAGACATGAAGACGTGGATTTTGCATAATAGGTGACCTTTAAGTAAGTCAGCAGGCTTCATCCTCTGGGGAACACGAACGATTGTACCATATTGCGTGTTATCAAGGAGGTTTTCCAAAAGCTGAGGAACGAAAACACAGACTGACTTTGCCATTGCTAATGCCAAACCACTAGCATGGCTAAAAATATCATATTTGCCCATTAAAAATCCATGTAGGTTATATAAACACAGTCTGTCAATTACCCGCTTTAATGCCACAGCCTCTGTACATGGAGATCTGTGCTGGAGGGGGAGAGGTGACAGTTGTGAGAGTAAATGAGAAGCTCTTTTTTATGAATGACACCACGAGGATGGGGAAGAGAAGCAGAGGTGATGTGAGCTGCATATTCATCTCCCAATGGGGTCGAGTGTATGTCTTTCACTCTGCTTCAGCTGATTCAAGTTTCAGTGACAAAACTAATCTCTATCAGAGCAGTAACACTACACAATGTGGATTAAAGAAGGTCTTATTTAAAGTGTTCAGTGTGTGACGTCAAACAACCAGGAGGCTCCGACTTCTTCTGTGATCAAGGATCAAGTCACACAGGGACATGTCTTTGAATGTTTCCAATTTTAGTTAATTCATTAAATGAGGTTAAAACATGTTGTCGTTACATGGCCTGAATAACATTCCTCCCCTTTCTGTTCTAAATTTGATCTAATTTAAGGTATTTTACGAAATGTAATCAAATCTCCCTGAGTTAAAGATTATTTCCAAAATAAAAAGAGTCCAACTTCAGGGTTTCTTCAATCGTTAAAGAAGTACTATTGCGGCAGTAATCTTAAACAAAGTGCCGCGAGGGACTAAACAAGAGAAAAAACACTGTGGACGCGCAAAAACTCAGTCTTTCCAACACAGTATGCGTAACCTTTTATTTCCAAAGCAAAAATGCAATATTCCATATACGTATATCCTTGTATGCGTGCGGTCAACAAAAATGGTCCTTCTCTAGCTCACTCCCCCATCTATACAAAGTGCGCAGGTAAAAGCAACCGGATATAAGCACAAACGTCACCACACAAATCCAATGACACGCCCACCACCTATAGTGACTCAAAAAACATGTATCGTAACAAACACAGAAATGGCTTCATATGTGGCTCCTACAAGTACTTCGACAATGTCTCTGAACCAGACCTGCTGATCTTGACCCAGATCCCAAAGCTGTCAAAGAAAAGAGGAATTTATGGTAAACCTCCAACCTCCAAAACAGAAACTGATAAGAAGGCTAGAGTTTCTTTAATCCCAGTCAAAAGCTTTTTAAAGTAAGGCGTATTCGACTGTGGTTTGATATGAAAATCCAGCAGCGGGATTTTACAAGTGGCTTTAGTACAATTTCCTTTAACCTAAATCAGTTAAACTGCTCGAAACCAACAATATTGTTATCTGGACTTTATCAGTACACAAAGTTGTCCTCAATTTCTTATATTTAAAAGTAGCTTGTTGATTAGGTCTATTGCCAAGTCAAACTTAATCAAGGTTTAAATAGCAAATGTAGGAACGTTAAACGTATCACAGCCAAAACAATTCGGAGTCAAACAAAGCACGTCTCCAAGACTTCCACAAAAAGGACTGGAGACAGATAACTGGACTCAAATACTACAGCCCCATTCTTAGGCTTTAAATAATTAAATAAATACGCAAGTATACTCAATTCATGTTATGGTAATGGCTCTCCAAATGTCCCTTTCAGAATAATTCAGAACAACTGACAGTACAGCACAGCATAATCACAAATTGATCTTTATAACCGACAATACAATAACTTCTTTCTTGCCGTCATTCGAATACTTCCTCTGCAGTAATACAATGTCTTCACAGCGCGACAGCAGAGCACATGATAGAAAAAGACAATCTCATAGGCGTTTGAACAAAATGGATTATTTGCAGTTGATTGTACTCTTATTGAAGTGGGTGTAACTTAAACAGTAAAAGTGATGGAAATCCTGGTATATACATTTCATCTCATAAATGAAGAAGTGTGTTGTGCCATAAATGTAACTGTAGCTCTTGAAAGAGATGAAGGGTAGGCGTTTTCAATTATGTATATTGGATTATCATTTTTGCTTACATAGCATTCTGCTCCTTAGTGTTAGACGATGTGTAATGGATGATGGTAAAGTATTGTAAGAGAGTAAACATATTTTTCAAAAAGGGGATAGGCAATTCATTTAAAAATGCAAAACATACTGGATGGTTGTAAGCATTCAAATGATTAAGTGTAGTATTATATCTAGTATGGAAAACACGTCAAGCACAAATGCATTTGAATACATTCAGAATTTGTAATCATTATTTGTCAACCTTATCCTTGCTACTTGGACTCTCTTAGTACACACATCTGTGGCATATACAGTCTAAAAATAAGCTTACTTTTGAAGAAGGGTAAATCTTACTCCCATTATAAATGTGTATCTGCCTTCATGTCAGAAACACATCAGCTCTATTGTTCCAACATCTGTGCACGTCCCCGTGTGTGTGGGCATGCGCAATGGCAATGGACAGGTACATGACGTCCATCCAATATTGTTACCAATTATTATTCCTTCAATTAATTTCCCAGTTTGAGTGTTAATAATAATATTTCAGCGTAAAATTGTTTAAGCCGATTGGTTTCACCTGTGGCCGTTGAACAGGTGCAAATAGCCTGAGGCCAATTAAGCTAGGTTAATCAAATGCATGTGACTAATGTTAGAGGCAAAGCCCATGCTGGAGGTAATGTGTGTGAATGTGAGGAAGAAACTGCTACAAAATGTGTATTTTTACGTAATTTAAAATGGTATTAGCTCTATCTCTTTAGGAGCCCTTACTTTCACAGGAGACATTGACATATATCGAACTGCGTGTACTATAACCACCTGGCGAAGGTGGAAAACGGCGTTAATAATGCTAACCAAACCTAAACCCCACGTTTCCTCGGTGTAAGACAAAGATAAAAGCGCTCACCTGCCCCCGGTCACCTTTATCCGGATGCCTCTTCGGTCTGATATGCAGCTAGATGCTCGGTAAATCTCCACCAGTCTCCTCGCAGTTGTAGAAGCACGTCTATGCAGTCACTTTCACAGCGCCAACCCACACAATCTTACACGAGACCTTACCGAAAAGCGTGCTCACGCAAATAGCCCCATTGATTAAAAGACAATTAGAACTACTGCTGTTTCCCAAAAGGTGTCCGGGTAAATCTGATAAGATAAATGCGTCTTATTGTGTGCTACCCCGGTGTGAAGTTGAAGCTGCCGTCGATGTGAAGAGCAGAAATAACATACACCGACTTGTAAAAGGTGCCTTTCTTTGTGATACAGTGACATCTAGTGGCAACAAGAGCAACTGCAGTTTGGTTTGTTTATCCCTCCTGTCGTGTTCGTTTTAATGCTCTTACATTAACACAAAACACATTAATCATAACCACATTTTATTTACCATCCTTTTAAACGGTAAACAATGTCTCAGACTACTGGTTTACATGAATAACGGTACTGAATATACAAAGAATAGACACTTTAAACAATTGTATTCTGATTATTCCAAAATTCACTTTTGGTCGATTTGTGGTCGATCTGATGTGATGCATGAACATAATTTAAGGTTACCAATTCATTTCCTATTCATATGCACACTAAATGTAAATAACTATCACTTTTTAATTGGCTCTTTAATAGTGTTTTATTTGTCAGATAGTTAACATGTTTTTTCTTCTGGGTCAACTTGTAAAATATATGTTCACCTCTTAATTGTTTATTGTCTACCCTTTTTATTTCTAATTATGTGCAATACTTGCTTTTATGTGTAAATCCCTATACTGTGGAGGATATCACAAGGCCTTGAAGCAGTCAAATTTAAAACACAATATTTATGATTGATGAAAGTAGTAAATTGGTCAGATTTGACCTGAACGTAACAGAAGGGTTAAATAAAGAAAAACGAAATACCAAAGCATTGGTGTCCAAGCCTAATTTATTGAATTGAATTCTTCATCATAAAGACAGATTTTTGATACAAATTATTTACATTTTTTGGGGCAAAGAACAAATAGATATGCTGAGAGAAGAAGACAAACAGAGAGGAGACGGGAGAGGGAGAGAGAGAGGGAGAGAGAGAGAGAGAGAGAGAGAGATTTGCATGCACAATAAATCATTCAATATGGAAAGTCACAAAGTCCAGTGCAGGTTGACAATCTCAGTGAGTGCGGGTGAATCAAAGGATCGGGGATCATGTCGGTCAGGTTTGACATCAAGATCATTTACCACTGATCGCCGTACTCAGAGCTGTAAGGGAAGGGAAAAGCACGTTACTTAATTACAATTCACACACTTACTACAGCCTAATGGTGGATTACCAGCTCAACTGACCAATAACTCCACAGTGAGAGAAAATGCTAATCAATACTCACTTTAAGTATGAAATATTGACAAGAATCTCAAGAACAGGACCATAAACAGCGAGGTAATCCGGCTGCAGTGAGGCGTACGGCAATAAAACAATTTGACCATATATTGGAGCAGTATTGGCAGGCCTGCGTTGTAATATGTTTTTATTTAAAGGGGGCAATAAATGTTTTTACACTCTAAATAAGAGGTAGGAAAAAAAACACGGCTCTTGAGCTCTCTGCACTGGTTCCCTGTGGCTTTGACAAAAAGTAATATATAAATAAATAATAATGATTAGTGTACACAGTATGCATCACAATAGCTATGTTGTACTACTTCACTTGTATCAGTATTAGCCTTTAAAAAACAATATGATTGAACCAGACATGTATGGTTACAAATACCTGCATTTAACCTGCACCATTATATCTTTGACCTCTTATTAAGATGTACATTGCCAACAACTACACTTTAGCTTTCATGCATACGACTGTAAAACCTTTCGATCCTTTAATGTGTTGAATCTTCTTGTTTTTCTCACCGTGGTTCAGCGTCCTGGCTCGAATCGGCTCCAAACAGCAGCCACGCCACCTCCTGCTCGGGGGTCGCCCTCTTCCCATACCTGGAGACAAATCCAACACCAGCATGTAATGACTGCAACTCAATCTTATTTGGAGATTCTCATTCATGTGAAGGCCCCTTCTGTGCTTTCCACCAGCAGTCCCTCAGTTAGCATGTCACTGGGTGCTCTGTCGGTGTGACCTCCTTCAGCCTGGCAATGAATTTCAACTACTGGGTTTTCTCAAGAACCCTCAAGTTGTGTGTTAGCTGCACACACACTATTGAGTTTTTTAAGGACTGTGGAGCAATTACCTGAAAGATAAGGAATGTTCAAGTTCAAACTGAGCATCCAGCGAGGCAAAAACAACAAGCTCCTTCGACTTTGTCTTTCGAAGTGTCTTTAGTAAAAATCAATGCCTGGCCAGTCAGGGAAGAATAAACATGGATTTGTTTGAGGTATGAGAGTGCAGTGACAGCTACAGCCTCTTTCATTACAGACCAGGAGGCGAAATGGTTAGACTATCCTCAGCTTCCAGCACAGGAAAATGTGCCATAGAGCAGGGATAGTGTATTTAATAACAGTTACTGATCAAAACTGTTACCAGTAATATACTATTGTCATATTTAAGGCATGACAAATAAGACCTGCAGTGAAAACTTGGATGAAATGTGTAGAAAACCTACAATTTCACTATTAAATCATTTTAAACCTAGTAAGAACATGATCAGGGTGTCTCATGTTGAAGCATGTCCTAACAAGATTTGGGATCAAAACTGAGGAATGCCAGGCTCCTTTCCTCTCCCTAATTATTTCTTAAGCACAACAATGCATCGTATGGTAAGCGTAATGAACAGAAAGTCCTTCTCAGCTCACCAAAGAAGATGAATGTCTAGCATCTGAAATGTTTAGTTTATTCAGTATTTTTTTAACTTACACAACTATAATTCTAAACTAAAAAAAATGGAACCTCTGAATACAGTCTGGGAGATTTAGCTCTTTACTTCATATTTACTTCATAACGGTGCCATTGCTGAAATCTCTAAATTTGGGGACTTTTTTAGTTCAGGGATGATCTTGATTTAGAGTGAAAAACAGGTCTTATAAGGCTGAATGTTGTGCCCCAACATGAGGGCTCGCCCCCCTGTGGCTCTCCTTGCAACTCGTCCTTGAGTCAGAGACTTAATCCCTCACATCACGGTGGACTATGTCTGACCCCGACCACAGGACGAGAAGACACCAAACTACTGCAAGTTTTAAACATTTGCCAGTTTTTTCAAGGTGATGGAACTGTTGATTGAAGAGTTAATTATACTCAATCATATGTGCATTCTCTGGTTAGATAAATAGTAGAAGAATAGGGTGATCTTTTTGGGACTGCCACCCAGAGCAGGAGGACTATACAAGTTTGAAGTTGTTAAATAAACGTCTCTTCCCAGCAACAGAAGGCATACTAATGAATTAAATCCAGGAAAATAATACGCATCCATAACTCAGTGCTAGTACTTTAGGTTCAAACATAAAATGAATTGAGAGCAGCTTGATGAGAGTACTGGCAACCACTGCTGGATCACATCAAAGTGACTTCAGATGACTTTCTTCACTTTATGAATGTAAACAATACCAAGTCAGTAACACTGTGCGTAAAATATATATTTGTATGATTAATACGTTTATTTATGGCTCTCAAGGTATCATATCATGACAACCTCCCCCCCTTTACTATTCTTTCTTTCACACTCATTCTATTTTACGTCTTGTTTTCATTGTAATAGCCTGACTATTTTACTATCTAATCAACTATTTCATAAATCGTTTCTATCAAGTTCAGGATTTTGACAAAAAAATACAATTTTATTATCAAAAAATTCAAAATGATTTAAACATTACATCTATCTATCTAAGTATTGAGCTTGTCTCACCTCTGCCTGGTGATGAGGTTGACATAATGCCGGACCGCTGAGTGGTATTTGGCCCAGTCCTCCGGTGAGGCGTCGCTCCCCGGGCTCTCCGGTTTAGGGGGGGTAAGCGTCGGCAAAGCTGCTCAGACACACCAGCAGGCAGAGGACCACAGCTGCAGGCATCATCCACGATCTCATCATGTTGGCCATCTGAGGAGAAACAAGACAACACGGTGTCATTTCCCTTGAAAAAGTGTATAAACCATGCGTTTTGGCATGCGCAAAAATCTTTGTAGATCTAGGATGCAACTTAAACTCTTATTAAAGTAAGAACACTTACTTTGTGACAGTTTTCTCCTGATGTAGTCTCCTGGGTGGTGTCCCTGTGTTGCTGCTCTCCTCAGATCACAGGATCATATATATAGCGGAGATGGACACCTGATGCGCACTGTGACACTTAACCACACCCCCTTAGGCAGCAGCGCGTAAAGGGGAAACGTATCTCTTGTAAATATTTAAAGTAGTTTTGATGTGTTGGATTTGGTTTGAGTATTTGACTCTTTGCTGAATTCTAAAGTTAATTTTGATGCGATTAGACAGGGGAAATTATGACTACTTCACTGTGCAATTTGCACTTTGTAAGACCACCAATGAATGATTATAAAATAAATATAAACAGAAATCTAAGGTGTTTTTTTCTGTATTCTGATTAAGGACCACTAACAGAGCCAAGAGCTTATATGTTACCATAAATGAGCAACCCCCCCCTGCTTTTTTATGTAAAAATGATTGGCCCTATAGGTTAAAATTGAGTAAGCATGATACACAGTGGCGATCTCAGACTTTAAGGGGGCCCAGGGGAAGAAGCCCATTGTATGTGACCATTTGGGATAGTTACAGTTAACGTTCTGTCACTTGCTGAATACACACTTAGGGTTTTAAAAGTATATAACATAGTGTCTTTATGGGAAGTTTTAAAAAGGAAAGAAGTTTAAAGTTGTTTTTAAAGTTATCTTTGCGAAATGTGCCGATTTGAGTGGCCTTTTCCTAACATGTTTTGGGGGGGCCTTGTTTGCCTTTCTTGACTTCACCCAACATGTGAAATAACATGTATGTAAATAAACTTGTATGTGAGAGAGATGTGCAAATAAAAGAATACATTGTGGAAAGCACAACGTTTATCCAATAGAAAATACACGAAGCTGCACTTACCTGCACTGAAGTCTCTCAACAAAACTAATAACCAGAAAACAATACAACTGAGCCTTGACATTTGAAATAAGGGCCTCTTTGGAGAAAGATGGGATGACTAACCCTGCTTACATACAACAACATATCAATTATTCTGTTGAAAGATATTTTCTCAGGATTTCAGCATTTTGTCAAGAATATCTAAAATTTAGGAAGAGACCTTTACACATGGTATTAACTTGATGATAGTAGCATCAGCTTCAAAAGCTTATATACATTTATTTAATATGCATCTATATTTTAATGGAGTGAGTTGAGGGTCTCTAAATAAGGTGCTGCATGGTGTACTTACATGACTTGATACCACCAGGAATACTGAGCAAATCAATGTCATGTAAGTACACCATGCAGCACCTTATTTAGAGGACCCTCAACTCACTCCTTTAATGAATTTGTTGCAGTGGATGGTAATCGAACGTATCTAATTGTTTTATTGACTGCTATCTATTCTGTGCATGTAGTTAAGGCACAAACACATTCATCTTTAGACACTGAGGATATTGGATATTGATGTACGTGTGACCTCCAATAAGTTAATTTACAACTGTTTACTAAATGTCAATTAATTACTGTTAATTCATTAATATGAAATGTATTGTAATCAGGAGCGATGTAGCCTATCATGTCCAATCATTAGCCCATACGGCCTTCTCTGCTCTCATCACTGCTGCATGACATTATTCACACGGAGCTGAAGCCATTAATATGTGCTGGAAATAGAGGTCATAGGCTACAGCAGCCACAGATCAATAATGCTTTTGTGTGAAACATAGCTTCAGGCTTTAGGGAAATTAATTTGAACTGCAGTAAATGATTTATCTAAGTATTAGTTGATCAAATTATTCTTTTACCTTATTTATTTGGTTCTAAAATGGAGAAACTGTCACAAAGAAGCAATCCGATCCTTATTTACGGAAGACGATTAGGGCCATATGTGAACATTTTAGAGATCTGACCAAAAGTGATTTTTTTTTTGTTTGTTCTGAGATTAAAGTCAGAACTCAGACTTTTGGTCCCAGCATTTTTCTCATGTGGCCCTAATCCTCTTCCATACTTATTCTTGTACAACTTTTCAAATCCATATCAGAACGGAGATTAAAGTGTGTATGTGTGCTGACAACACTAATACACTCGCACAAAGACAATGTGTACATAAATACCTTTCAGGTCTCAAGTGCTGAGGCTAAGTCTAATGTAATCGGTCACATTTATGACTGTTGCAGCAGCTCCCGTTTATCTCCAATCTTCACGGTCTGCTGTTCAGTTAATGACGCCTGAAGCCATCCCTTATCGGGATGCAGTGTTGACTTTTTACCGTGCACATGCTAAAGGGTTCCTGCCCCTGTGCTTTATGTTTGCACACAGGATAGAGATGGGATTTTTTGCCAGATGTTAAGCTAAAAAAACAATGTATTTGAAACCCCGCTGTATTAGATCAGTATTCGATCATGGATCATGCTTCCATATAGCAACCTACTTGTTGTCCTGCCGCACTCTCTGGGGAAGTCATGACATGTTGTTTATAGAGTTGTAAACAACTATGGCTTTTTCTTTGTCAGTCCCTAAACCCTGGTCAAAAACACAACTTGATTTGGACATCAATCCCCACTGACAGCCACTAAACAAGCAGTTAAAGTGTATACCATAAACGCTGTAAGTGGAGTGTGGCATTACACATTGATTGTGCTGGCTGTAATTATTGTACCATATTTCAAACTCATATTGGGGGACGATTAGTGTGCTCAAGTGTTTTTGACATCCAAATTGATGCAACATGGACCTTCAATTGTAATATCATGGCTTTTAACAATCTGATGAATTGGAATAAACAAGGGGAATGGCTCAAAATGATTAAATAGGGAATAAACCATCTACCATTCGAGGGAATTGATGTGTCCTCTTCCTCGCTATCACCCATTCCGCACAGTTAACGGTGGCCATCGTGAACATTTAGTTAATTCTACTCCAGTAATCAACCTCTCTGTCTTCACTTTACGGCCTGTAAAAGTCAATGACAAGAAATAACAATATGCACAAGACAAACTCATTAGCTGGCTCCAGTGTTTGCAGGCAAACAGTGAGAAAGTAGCAGCCGTTAGATAAGAGAAAGGGCAGATAGTTAAGGTTTTCACGGTGCAATAACCAAAGCTAATGCACTCCTGAGGAGCCATTTGGGCCCCCACGGAGAGGAAAGGCCATCAAAGATAATACTGCGTGTAAACTTTTTCTCTTGTCCACTTTTACAAACTTTTCCTTATGAAGCAGGATGAAGATGTACGTAGACATTTGATAGAAATCTACTTACTGTAGGAATCAACCTGTACAAATGGAGCTCTAAAAGCTTTTCTCTTTGCCATGACTTCCCCATTTCCATTTGCATGACTAGTTCAAGTACAAAAAGGAAGATTGCACAAACATGCTTATAAAAGTCAAATATGTGTGTACAAGCAATCAACCGGGAGAAGGTCAGACCCCTTCCTGCCGTCACGGACAAAAAGGGAAATTATTATGTTTTTTGTTTTTTTTACATTTTGCCTTATCTCCAGAGTGAGGGGAGCCACTTATATGAACAGAGTGCTTTCCATGCGGCCAGGTCTCTTTGCACAGCTCAGGAGACAAAATGGAGGGGAAGATGGGCTGCCCACTACCACAATGCTGTAATTCATGACCACATAAATGGCTCTAAAAGGAGTGCCGGGCAGCAAACAATAACATATCTCTCTTTAAGTTTCATGTTACACACTATCTCAGATATGGCTGTGGGGCATGGAGCAGTCGGTGCTCTGGGGGAACAAGTCAGGGCTTCTCATTTGGCATCTAAAACAGCAATGCCTTCTGTTATTGCCCCCCGCTAGTTAATCGAAGTCTTTTCTGGAAAGCAGAGCCCACCAATTACAGCAATATCTCACCGACTGATGTGTTTATGAGGGCTGGCAGTGGCAGCCTCAGGTAATTCTGACGGATGGCGATACAGGTGTCTGAGGGCTCGGGGAAAAGGTCGATGATTTGATTCAGAGCATGGTCTCAAAGCCGCTACTATAAATTAAGAAAGCCAAAGTGCTATTTCTGTATCACAATTAAACAAGACCAAATCAAGGTCTTACTCACCATGACTAGATATGCCGTAAATGTACAGCTCTACAAAACCAGATGACGTCCAACTCAATGGGACTGTATTCATGCATCATAGCAGATCAGGAACAAGCTGTAATCTGTTCATATTGGCCTCAAGCTTTTGAGATTTCACGTTTTAGAGGTGTTGACTCAGGATCTCTTCCCAATGGACACCAATTACACAAAAGCAACCCCACCTCCTTGGTGTAAATCACATTGATCCTCAGGCTTTGAGGTGCTCAAAAAGCCAATATCAAGGGATGGTGATATTGGAGGAGCCAGGAGTGTCGCTGAAAGACAATGACTGATGTTTAAGTGATGTGCCATCCAAACATCCGAAGAGAAAATACCCAAGAGAACGGGCAGTGTTTCAGCAAACAGGAAAACAAGTAGAACAACAATCCAACTAATAGTTGTGGAGATATTTCAGTCAAAACCAAGAATTGGAAGCTTGTGGCGGTGCGATAGGAAGTCAGGGGATCACCAAAGAATCCCGAATTTGGTGCTGATGCATATAATAATTGATATAAATGAGCATTTATAGGATAGATGAAAACTTGTTGGTCTATCAGAAGGAAAATTAAGGGGGGATACCAGAATAAAATATGAATAATCCTCTAAAACAGTGGTTCCCAACCTTTTTTCCCAAGAGCCCCCCCCAAATGACTCCTGTTGGAAGTTGCGCCCCCCCCCCCCCCCCACACACATACACAAGGGGGGGAGTTTAAAAGTCTGAAAAATGCTACAACTACTGTCATAAACTAGATGAATGTGAAGTATTTTGTTAAAGGAGGATGGAAGCGTAATTAAGGAGCACTATTGGAGTGACTTTGATGGTTATTGGA